GACCCGACAGTGCGGCCGCTTTCAGGGGTGACATTCCGTACGAATCGGTGGCCATAACCGCGCCATTCATTAACAATAACTTCATTATCTCTAAACTTCCCGATTCCGCGCAATCGTGAAGAGCAGTATTGCCTATAAATGCAACACTCAATCAGACAATTGGTTTCAAATTCAAGTGATAAACACCGCAAACCTTTGAAACTCTTTCGGTTGACTTGAGCTCCGATTGAGATCAAGAATTCAGCGATAGTTAAGTGCTTTTTATAGGCGCAGATCATTAGACTAATTAAAAACAAATCATTCAATTAATCAATTAATAGATCACTAGTCAATGTGTGTACAGACCAGGTGTGGCCGTGTCTATTGGCGATCTCGATGTCGGCCCCGAACTCAACCAAATACTTAACGATATCTGCAAACAATACACGCAAACCATTACTACAACTGATGGCCAAACACTTGACACAAAACTATATGACAGACCGATGTGTCCATCAAAACAGGCGGCGCGTAATGGCGTTGAATTGGTTTTGGTTTTGCTGTTGACATTAGCGCCGTGTGTTATGAGTGCCTTAACGCACGCCAAATGGCCCGCCGCTGATGAGAGAGAGAGAGAGAGAGAGAGAGAATATTAAAAATTTGTATATACAGTATCTCTAACTCTTTGCAACAATTGATGAATTAGTGCTAATAATATAATGAATTCTGTAATACAGATACAGTTTGAATGTTTAAATTAAAATTAAACTTTTCAATGTGTGGACCATTACTGTAGAGATTTGATCGATTTATGTGACATTAGTGTACAGTAGAGTTGCTGTAGTTTTTGACTGATTCAAAATCTATAAAATTCACAATTACTATTATAATAGGGTATTACTAATACTCATCAATTTAATAATTAAAGTTCACACATCATTCTCCCACCCCCTTATAAAGAGTAATGATTTTTATGGTATAATTTTATATAGAAATGAATGAACCCTTGGGTTAACATCTAATCTGACTTTTGAACCCTTCAATGCATTTACCGCTAAATGACAACACATTTCGCGTACAAAACAATCTGTCATTCAATAAATAGTACGTTATTTGTGAACGAAATACACGACACGCGCAGAGAATAGGATTTAATAATTAATGAAAACATAGTATTTGTGATAAAAAACAACAAATGGTTTCACAATTGAAATGATATTCGCATTGATTTAACGTTTGATTAATTGAATGCAAATTACAATCAATTTATGAACAATTGTTTGCATTTCAGACACCCTTTGGAATGGAGTTCAAGAATATTGTGTTCAACGCCGCCAGAGATGGCAAACTCAGACGTCTTAAGGTAGGGATCAGTTAGTGGTGATGATGAACGCACTCACGAATGCATGCATTGTCTTCGCACAGCTGTTCCTCGACCACAGACCCAAAGAGGAGGTGAAGCTAATCGTGTCGTTGCGTACGAATGGCGCGACTCCTCTCCTCATTGCCGCCAGAAATGGATATTTGAATGTTTTGGAGTATTTGGTCGACAAATGCAACGCTGATATCGAACAGGTCTTCTTCGCCGCCACCTCAGCCCTCAATGACCATCACTTGACCGCTTGATTCACTCATCCATAGGTGGGATCCGTTAACTTCGACGGCGAGTCTATTGAGGCGGCGCCTCCCATATGGTGTGCGTCAGCGGCGGGCCATTTGGCGTGCGTTAAGGCACTCATAACACACGGCGCTAATGTCAACAGCAAAACCAAAACCAATTCAACGCCATTACGCGCCGCCTGTTTTGATGGACACATCGGTCTGTCATCTAGTTTTGTGTCAAGTGTTTGTCCATCAGTTGTAACGGTTTGTGTGTATTGTTTGCAGATATCGTTAAGTATTTGGTTGAGTTCGGGGCCGACATCGAGATCGCCAATAGACACGGCCACACCTGGTCTGTACACACATTCACTATTGATCTATTAATTGATTGATTAATTGAATGATTTGTTTCTAATTAGTCTAATGATCTGCGCCTATAAAAAGCACTTAACTATCGCTGAATTCTTGATCTCAATCGGAGCTCAAGTCAACCGAAAGAGTTTCAAAGGTTTGCGGTGTTTATCACTTGAATTTGAGACCAATTGTCTGATTGAGTGTTGCATTTATAGGCAACACTGCTCTTCACGATTGCGCGGAATCGGGAAGTTTAGAGATAATGAAGTTATTGTTAATGAATGGCGCGGTTATGGCCACCGATTCGTACGGAATGTCACCCCTGAAAGCGGCCGCACTGTCGGGTCACTCGGCGATCGTAGATCTGATTACATCACAACAACTGTGCACTCGATTAGAAGCGATCGAAGCGTTTGAACTCTTGGGCTCTACTTTTGTGGATAAGAAACACGATATACTGACAGCACTGGGTCTTTGGCGCAAAGCACTAAAGTTACGCAATTCTTGTGATAGTTATCCGATTTTCAAGTCAACGGTTGAGCCAAACATTGCATATAATTTTGCCGCTGAGTTCACAGACGTGGAGCAGTTGGAGGAACTGGTGATCGATCCCGACCTCATGAGAATGCAGTCATTGCTCATACGGGAGCGGATATTGGGTCCGTCACATCCGGACACTTCGTATTACATCCGATATCGCGGCGCCGTTTACGCCGATTCCGGGAATTACGAGCGATGTATTCAGTTATGGATCTATGCGTTAGATATGCAGCAAAAGATCTTTGACGCGTTGAATACAATGACTCAAAGCAGTCTATTGTCTTTCGTTGAGCTTTTCTCTCTAATGATGTCTAAATCCTATTCAATGGTTCGCTTCAAAGACTTGTTCGCAGTTCTTCGACGAGCGATACATGAATTAGAGGCCACCGCCTGTCGTGTCAAAGCTCTCAGTGACCACGACTTGACTAACTATAACCGAACCATTAATATAGTGCTCAGCTTTTTAGGCCTTCTTTGCCGACTGAAGCCTTTGCTCACCGAAGTCGAGGACACAGAGCTGAAGAGAGAGACCTATCGATTGGTCAAATTGAATCCGAGGGGGAAGAATGGCTGGACATTACTCCATATGGTGTGCAACGTTGGCGACAACTCGTTCGCATTGTTCCCGTTCTATGAGATGCCGGTGACGGACGTGTGCCAACTGCTCATAGAAGTGGGACATTCACTCGATTTGGTGGATAATGACGGCAATACACCCCTTCATATCAGTGCGTCGGCCAAACACACCACTCCTCCACTGTTTGTCACACTTCTCAATAATGGCGCTCATCTGGACTTCACGAACACCAACGGAAAGGCGGCACTAGATTTAGCCCCCAATCCATCACTAAATCTATATCAAGTGTTTCCTCTCAAATATATATCACTTCAATGTCTTTGCGCGCAAACAATCAATCGGTTTCGCATACCATTCAAAGGCAGCGTCGGTTCAAAATCGTTGGAACAGTTTATTCAAAATCATTAACCAATTGAATGCTTTTATTCTTCAGAGCATTAAGTATTTGACATCAATTGCAATAATAAAACTATTGTAAACATTAGATCTTATCATTAAAATTTCTATTTTTGTTTTTATTATAAATCGATACAAATATATTATATATTATTAAATCAAAACTCGTTTAAAAGTTGAAAATATTTTAATTTTGTGAAATTTTATCAATAAATATGGTTTAATATGTATACAAATTATTATTTAATAAAAATGTATAAATTTATTATAAATGATACAAAATTTGTTTGCATATTACCGGTAATACAGTTTTGG